AGAAAGAGTAGTAATTTTCTTATCCCATTCGGATGGATTATATATCATAATTATCTCTGACTGTTTATGTTTCTAGCATGACCACTCGATGAAATGTGGAGGGAAGCGGGATAAATGGCTGATACTACTGGAAGGATTCCTCTTTGGGTAATAGGTACTGTAGCTGGTATTCTTGTGATCGGTTTAATAGGTATTTTCCAATCGGAGGAACGGGATGAGCGTGCTTCTCGACAAAAATCGTCATGAGAAAGTTTTTGAGATGATTGCATTCCTTCGTCTCATGTCCGTACGCTTTGTGGTATCCGCACCACTTGGTTGCGTCGTACGCACTATTGGCCGGATTCGTTCGGGCGGCCTGCTTCTTTCCGTCAACTTCCAACGTCCATTTGTTGCTCCGCTGTCCTCGGACGGCTAATGCCGGGTCCGGTTGCTTTTCATCCGGGATGGCGTTGACGAGACCTTTCTTTTTGTCCGGTTTGTTGTAGGATGCGTGCTGCCTAGGTTCGGGGTGGCCTTCAGCTGCCTTCAAGGCCGCTTGCTTTAGCTCGTTTTGTTTTTTAATGAACGATCGCTTGTCCTCTTCCAGTCGGATAAAGTTTTGGGAGCGATGGAGGGAGTCCTGGAGGGAGATCGTGGGATTGGAGTAGAGATCGTCTCGAAATTTGGAGTGTATCCATAACGCATTTCGTAGAGCTTCGACAGCCGTTTGGTCGGGGATCTCGATCTGTGTTACCACATTTTTGAACTTTTCCATAAAATCCTTGAGGCTTTCGGAGGCCGATTGCGACATCTTCCACAGGTCTGCCGAGGTTGTTTCTTGACGAGTAAACATGATGTAATGTTTCAAAAACTGCGCCGATAGGTCGTGGAAGTTATCGATCGATCCCTCGGTCAGTCGCGAGAACCAGGTTAGCGCTGATCCGGAGAGGCTTTCGATGAAAAGTTGGCAGAAACCCGCGTCTTTTTCTTCGTCGGAGAAGTTCGTCCTGCCCATCGCTATGTTGAACGCTGTCACGTGATCCGTCGGATCTGTCTCGCCGGCATACGTCGGGAGACGGAGCTTGTTAATTTTCTTGATTTTGGTATCCGTGATTCGCTTCGTGAACGGATTCTTTAGTGTGGTAGCGAGGACGCGTTCGATCTCCGGCGCTGAGGTTGTGACATGGTGTATCTTAGAGTGAATGTCTTTCATCGACTTTCGCAACTCGTCGATCTGGGATTTGGTGGCCGCGTCTAGTCCATCGGTCGNCGGAGCTTGTTAATTTTCTTGATTTTGGTATCCGTGATTCGCTTCGTGAACGGATTCTTTAGTGTGGTAGCGAGGACGCGTTCGATCTCCGGCGCTGAGGTTGTGACATGGTGTATCTTAGAGTGAATGTCTTTCATCGACTTTCGCAACTCGTCGATCTGGGATTTGGTGGCCGCGTCTAGTCCATCGGTCGTTTGACTGGCGAGGTTAGCTTCATTAGCTGCGCCACCAATCGCAGGACCGGCTCCGGCAGGCGTCGGGTTCGTTGAAGTAAAGAGTAGTCGGCGTCTTGCTGTCTCTGTGTCTCCTGCGTCACCGTCGGTCGCGGCGAGAGCGGCAGCAAGTGCGGTTAGCTGCTCGTTCATGACTCTGTTCGTTTCCTCCTGTCGTTCGAGGTGGTTCATGATACGCTGCATCATATCGTCGGCCGCCGGAGTTATGGCGACCGGTCTCTGTCCCGGCGCGTCGTCGGTGAGAGAGTCGTCGGGAGGCATACTGATTTCGTTAACGCTACTTCGTAAGTCCCCACGGTGGGCGCCAAATGTTGAATCCGAGTTTTGTACGGTCGACTGACTGGAAAACTAAACTCGATTTGTGGGTTATTCGAAGGCGTTTTATTAATCAGAGTTGATAATAAGAGAAGATTACAGAAAGATTCGTGGAAAGAACAAAGATCGGAGCTTTATGAAAGTCCGACCGAATTACAAAGAGGTTCGATCGTCGCTAAAATCCTAAATCTCGCCGTCAGTGTTCTTGTCTCAGTTTTCGGATCCCCTTTCCTTTTGCCCTTCCACTTCCTTTTATAGCTCTCGCTTGACCCTATTGTCTTGCTCGTTCGCCCTAGGAGGTTTTGGGCCTAAAACCGTTTGATGGGCTTTTATTCAGGGATAAGTCGGTCGACCGTCGCTGCCCGGTTCGACCGGTTTATTATGATAATCGGTGGATTAATTGTCATTTAAACCGCCCGTCTTCCTAGCAGACTTTGCTTCTGGGCCGCTTATGGACGACGATCGGTTGGGCCTAGTTATTTGATGGGCCTAATGGGGAGGTATGGAATTCCTCTCCTACAACTCCCTTATTTATTGGGCAGGAGAAACTGATTTTATCATCAGAGAAAAATGGCCTCTTCCTCGCTGCCGTTAACTTCTTCCTTGGAACGGTTGTCATTGGTTCCTCTTAGCCCGCCGTCTCCATCTTTGACTCCGGAATAAAAGACGGAGAATATAGTAACTGGTCGGAGCTTCCTTCTGAACTAACGACATCAATCATGCAAAGGCTAGGCGTGATTGAGATATTGGAAAACACTCAGAAAGTGTGTATGTCATGGCGTCGCGTCTCTAATGACCCTGCGATGTGGCGGAAAATTGTCATGCATAAGGTAGAAGGCTTGGGGTACGACCTTGAGATCATGTGCCGTCACGCGGTTGATCGTAGCCAGGGACGGTTGGTTGAGATTGAAATTTGGGATTTCGCCACTGACTCTCTCATCAACTACATCGCTGATAGGTTAATTCTCTCTAACTCTCTCTCTGTTTGTCAATAATCTCTCATCTTAGTGTTCTGTAAGCTTATAAATTTTACATTCCACTATTTTAGATCAAGCAAACTTAGAAGCCTTAAACTAGCAATGTGCCGTCAAATATCTGAGGAGGAACTTACCAAAGCACTTGTGAAGCTTCCTTTTCTTGAAGAGATTGAGTTATTATATGGCTCATTCTCAGGAGAGTCTCTGAAAGTTGTAGGCCATGCTTGTCCTAATCTGAAGACATTCAAGCTAAACGACCGAGGATTCTATCCTAGACTTGTTAGTGACGATGATGAGGCTCTATCTATCGCTGAAACAATGCATGGTCTTCGCAGCCTCCAGCTTTTTGGAAACAGGTTATCACTTATCAGACACTGGTTTAAACGCCATTCTTGATAATTGTCCGAACCTAGAACATCTTGATTTACGTCAGTGTTTCAACGTTAACATTGTGGGGGATTTGGAGAAGCGGTGTTCCGAGAGGATCAAAGTTTTGAGACACCCTGATGACTCGACTCATGATTACCCATATGATGCAACGGTTATCGATATGCGTGATTTTCAACTCACTGATGGCGACATGCTAGATTTGCGTGACTTCGCATATGAACTTCTCAGATATGACAGTTACCTTTCTGACTACTAATACTATCCGTATGTTGTCTAGAATGGCCAGCATGGTTTTGAACGATGACCCGTAGTTCATAGACGGTGACTTCTTGGTACATCGGTTTATAGCTTGCGAAATATTTGGTTTTCTCTCTTTTAAATAGTTTCTGATGTCTTTCGTGTCCTTTTGTAATGATTCTTTTTTTGCTTTTTTAAGACTTTATATCTTAGAGCATCATTATCGCTGGGACAAATTTTAGGTGTTTTAGCATTTTTTATTAATATTATTTGACTAAGGGACAATGGTAAGAGACAATAAGAAATGTGTAGATTATTGGTATATACTTATATTGTTTCTTAGTAAATAAAAAAGAAAGCAGTGGTTATACTAATTTACCAGAAGACATGTAACTAAAACAACATACAACAAACAACTTATGATGATGCATACCACAGGATGGTCGGTTGTGTAGGGATATGAGGTTGCCTTGGGAGTTCTGGCCTTTTCAGACTTATGTTTATGTATCTCTTCTATCACAAACTTCTCTTTTTCAGAACCTCTGTTCCTGGATTTAATCATATCAACCATCTTTCAGAAAAATTTCTTGTGATAGCTACTTCTGAGAGTAAAGAGAGGGTTTGGTGTAGTGTTCCTTTGTAGAGGCCGTTCACAGCAAGATTCAGAGTTCAAAAAGAGCTGCCAAGTAGATAGTTATGTTAAGACACTGCAATTCCAAAGATAATACCAGAAGACATGTAACTAAAAGACATGTAACAAGAGAAAAAAATAAGTTTTTTTGTAAACTAAAAATAATTTAATAACTTACGGAGTCTATTAACGTCTCGACGAGAGCTAAGCTATTGATGATAACCATACCGGACGTTCTATAAGCTTCAGTAACTAAACCGTTTGGTTTTGCAGAGGAGAATGTTCTCATGTACTCCTCATGATTAAGCTCGTCTCTCTCTCTTCGTCTAAGCTTTTCACCCATAACGGTTCATCACTCTGAGCGAGCTTCACTAGCTCATCCATAGCTGCTAAAGACATCTCCAACAAAACTGATCTCTGATCAATCCCATTAATCACCGTCATAGTATACATAAACACCGTCAAATCTCGCAAATAGACCTATGCCTAATGTTAACACCACATTATTGATCTCATACTGCAATCCATGAATCATAGTGGACAACAGCAACATCAAATCAACAGGAACAACACAATGATATTCAAATCGAAGATAACAAAGACACCAGGCACTGGACAAGGATTCAGTCTCAAACCTCTGTCCTAATAGACCAAGAAAACTGGAAGACTAAAACTAAGACTTATCATTCCTCTAAATCACAACAAAAGTTCCATGATAATACATCCCAGCTTCTCAAAAAACAACTAGCAGCAAGAAGCTTTTGCAACTGACCATTCTCCAAAGCATCTCTAAGATCAGAAGCAAGATAAAGGCAATTACTTTAAACTTAAAAAAAAAAATTAAAGGAACACTGCATCAAGGAGATTATCAAAAGGAAGAAACTTTGAGGTACTAGTACCATCATAGCCACCAATATGCTTGCCATTAACAAAAAATTGGGGTAAATTACGGCGACCAACAAATTCCATAAGCTCGTACCGTATTTGATCTCCATTCTCTGCACACCCAAAAAATAAGACAAGTTATTTTTAAAAATCTAAGGAGAATGGGGAGAAAACAAAGTGATACATATACCTCTGAGATCAAGTTCCAAAACAAAGTGTTGTTCCTTAAATTCGCTGAATACCTAAGCCAAAAAAGTCACAAGCTCTTAATCTGAATCAAAGACTAGCATGATCAAATTCAGATTCTAATGGATTAAACTAGTATGAAGCTTAATTCAATTTTGGGGAAGAGATGGAGAAACAGATTTTGATAGTGCTCATCTAACAAAAACAATAACAACGAAGAAACATCAAAAACGCAACAACAAAGGAAACAGAGGAGTCACCAAGGAGAGCCACTGAGAGAGATGTGGAGAGAATAAAATCATCACTTCCTATCGAGAGAGAGAGATGAGGAGAGAAGAAGGCAAAATTCACAGAAGAGACGTTTTACTTGTACCTTAATTAAGGAACGTTTTTTCTAATAATAGCTAATTTTGATTTATTTTAAATCCTAATTTCACTAAAAACCTAGCTAAGAAACGCCGATAATCATGCTCTTATAACACAGACATATGTGATTGTTTCATCTTTCTTGAGTTTATTCTTCAACATTTGATGGAATCAAACCTGTACCAGTGAGAATCGTCCCAAAAAAAGTGTTTACAGCCTGTACAGTGTAAAATTAAATCATATGAGGAAACGCAAAGAAAATAGGTAATAACATTGTTCACTATGTAGGTAATCATTTATCATCTCTATGGTGTGCTGCTTCTGGTTCCAATGTTCCAGTAGTGTAAGACTAATGAGGTTTTGGAACAAATCCATCAAACCGCAAAGTTTCTTGTGGCCAAAGGAAGGGCCAAATGCACACCATCAAGCTCTGGTCTTTCAATGATTTGGCATCCAAGTCGTGATCTATATCATTATTTTCTAGAAACATGCTATTGTTTGTCATTTAAGTAAAAACAATTGAAACTTGTTTTTTCTTTTTCTTTTATGTTCAAGAGATAAGAAGAGAGCTTACGTTTCCGTGAGACCGAAAGCTAAGATCAAGCATATCATTCTCCTCATCTGTTGGTTCTTAAAGCTTGTGATAGTATTCTGTGTCCTGTAAATACAATTTCAGATACTACTTTTAGTTCATTAAAACCTTGGTTTCAAGGAACAGCAGAAACAATGGGGGAGGGGGAGATATGTTTTACCATCACGATCACTTGACATGTTGAACACGCTAGAGAAGCCTCACAAGCCCCTGGAGATAAAAAAACAATGAAAATAGTCATCCTGTTCTGTCTTCACCTTCTTTCTTAAACCTTTTGCTAACATTGTGGTCTATTTCGGTAATGTCTCAAACCAAATAACTACTCTGCAGAACATCCAAGCAAGATGAGAAAATTTGCCTCTGAACACAATAATTTGCACAACAAACAACAATTACAAAGAAAAACACAAGAACGAACGCCATAGAAGTTCCAACATCAAGAACTTGAGCACATCATCTTTAATGACGATGATGGAAACAAAAAAAAAATACTCAAGAAACTTCTTCCGACCTCTGATTCTCTTTCAGAAGCTCCTCTTCCGATTTCTTAAGAACTTGATCCCATCCGGTACCACAACTCACGTCAAGATAATCATAAGGAACAACTGTTTTCAAACCCGGAAAGGTGTCTACAAAAGAGTTGTAGAACAAGTGGAAGCTTAGAGAAATCAAAGTACATATTTCAAAGATTAATTTAAATACAACTCCCGTTGAATCTGGTGGGATCCGGAAGAACCCGGATCAAAACGCATATTAATCAGAGAACCTGCTCTTACCTGGTGAATCATCTAAGAATATAAATTACTTTTTAATCAAAGCCAAGAAGGAAAGGTGTCCAAAGCTTAAAAAGCGTTTATAGTATGTCTTAACTTTTAAACAGTCCACAACGAATTGTTCTTCATTGCATATGGATGGCATTCTGAATAGTTCATACAACATATTATATGCTTAGAATTTCCTGTATATATGCATAATTTGAGATTCGTAAGTCCTAAAGTTTTGCTAAGTTGGCATTTGTTGTTGTCACAATATGAGCAAAGAGTTTGTTTAGATAATAGTCTTCACGGAAACATTATTCTTTATTTATATATAGAAGGGATCGATGACCTTCTACATAACATAGAAAACCAAGAAATAGCACAAGACTAGCATTGAAAACAGGGAGAACAACAACAACACATACAATACATAGGTCGTCGATATGTTTCTTATGCAGTTACAACTGCATTAGCTGAGTCCTTGGTGCAGAAACTAGAACATGCATTGGTGCACTGTGCAACCGCTTCATTCACAATTTCAGTTGCATCTAATTCACCGAAACCATATATTGGAATTGCTATATTATTCTCTTCTTCCAACAATCTTAGAATTTTAATAGTAGTGAGCTTTTGCATTACCGGAGTCCTGGAGAGTGGTTAAGGCACCGCACACAGAGGATGCACATCCCAACTGGCAGTATTCATTGACAGTATCACCTTGAGACAAAAGTTTTTTTTTTTCTTAAAACCATGCAAGTTGCATCAAAATTTTGATCAAACTTGTAAAAGATATAACTTAATAAAACCACCAAGAAAAAGAATTAAATTACCAGTTTTTTCGGGAACCTCAATTGGAAGTGTTTGAGGACATCTCATCCATCTATTTTGGCAATGATTGATAACTAAACAATTATGCAAAGGCGAAACTCCAGCAAGACATTTCATAAATATGAGCGCGGCAGTCTTGCTCGGGCAACAAATCTTTGCTTCGACTTGATTCTGCACCATGAGAAGACTCATTATGAGCACACTTAAAATCACAGTTTTGCCTTCCATCTTAAGACTGATTACTTGTTTAGTCACAAAATGTACTTAGAGAGTATAAACTTGTATTGATGAAATGGTGATGAAACAAGACTCACTCAAATACGAGCTGTTTTACCGTTGACCACCACAAACATTTGTTTTTTTTGAAACTTTTGACCACCACAAACATCCTTTCATACATTTTATTTGAACCTAATAAATTGACAGAAGCAACGTGTTTTTGCGTTGAGACATAAATATCAAGGAATAGGAGACTGAAATAATTAAAACCAAGTGCGAGATCCAAATCCGATCCGACGTAGGGAAATCCTAATAAATTGACACAAGCAACGTGTTTTTGGTTTGAGACATAAATATCAAGGAATAGGAGACTGATATAATTAAAACCAGTGCGAGATACGAATCCAAGTTAATAAATTGACAGAAAAGGATGACAAAAAAAAAAATTGACAGAAAAGAAGACGTGTCAATGCATCGTGTTCTACAGAAGGTTTATTATCCGTTTTTGTCGACGAACAAAAATACATTTTCCTAAATAATCGTAAAACAATTCGTTTATATTTCAATTTTTATAAGTGAATCAAACATAAGTGATATATTTATATAAATATTTTGGAATTTTTCATTTCTTAATATAATCTATTTCACGACTGATTAAAAACCAGAAAACAATGACAAAATGAAAACAATGACATATTATTTATAGATAATAAATTTATTTACTTTTAAATCTTAACTAATTATCAAATAATTTACCAATAATTATTAAGGAATTTGTAAAAAAATTACAAATAACAAGTAATAAAACATGACAAGTGACTTGCAAGTCCATCAATTTTAACAAACCAAGTACAAGTCCAAAATTTGAATACTCGTACAAGTCAAGCCAAGTAATAAGTATATCGAAAACACCAAGTACTCAGTTTGTGACCATCCCTAGAGCTTATCATGGTCTTAGAGATGTACAATGTTGATAGTATTTTTCGCCATTCTTTGATAAAAGAACACAATAAGAGATGTATTGTACATATACTCACATTGGGGCCCGGAACAACTCCAAAGTAGCAATCCTTCCATATATAGTAACATCCAGTAGCAAGTTATATTACTAACAGAACAAAGCATGGTGAAAACATTTAAAAAATTATACTCTAAATTCCAAGGAACACAAAATTTGTAAATGAAAATGAAATACAAGATATGTACTTTTCCTTGCTGATGAAACGAGAATCCATATAAGTGTATGTACTAGTACCTGAAGCCCTTGTAGGGTAAGCAAATGGATCTTAATTCGAGTACATTTCCTGCAAACAGATTAACACCTCTCTGTTACACTAACAATACACTCTGTATCTGATCCAATAGACGAAACAACTTCACGGTAAAACCCTCTTCATATCAGATAAAGGCACGATCTTTCTATTGGTTAGCAAACCCTCTTAACATGTAATAAAAGGTCAGACTTTAGAACCGTTAAAGCCATATAAAAGAAAAGGCATTTCTTAGTGTCTGAATCTAGCTTGCTTGAAAACCGTAAACCTCCAGCTACCATAGCGAAAGGAACTTAATAGAGGAGACTGAGCTGGTGAAGTTGCTGTCACAACGTAATTCCACGAACTCATATTCCTGTGAAGGTATGAAAAGATGATCAAAAAATTCTCTTATTCATCATACGTTCTGTTATAAGTGACTCTGTTTATCTATAGAGTGATAATGAATGAGTAAACCGATATACATTTATCTAACCAACATTCTAAATTGGTATAGTATAAATTGTACTTTACTATCTTAATAGAAGGCTTTCCCGCCTCTAATCCTAAAGAAACTTCTTGACTTCTCAATTTTAACGAAGCAGAAAGAGAGAAAAGAACGAAGAAAAGAAACACACCCTTCGACGGCCGGTTTAGTTTGGTTTACAATCGACATTTACATGAATAGTTAGCGTTCGATTTAGTTCGGTATACTTCAAATTTTAACTAAACTAATCCAGTTCGAACTTTTACATCGACACAAACTTGATCTGGATGGAATTGAAAAGAAAAACTGAAACAAAGTGGATGATTGGTTGTGGATAAAAAATAAAATGAAAGGCAACTGAATTAGATTCTTACACGAATTCGGTTAATTCAAAATTCGAAACCAGATTGAGCACCAAACTTAAAATAATGGTCCAGTTATGCCATTTAGGATGTTCCCAGTTAGTTTTTGGTAGGGCTGGGCAAAAAAAACCGAACCCGAAAATCCGAACCGAATCCGATCCGATAAAAAGGAACCCGAACCGATCCGAATCCGACATAAGTACCGAATGGATCTTGTTTTACGGTATTTCGGGTTATGGGTATTACCCGAACCGAACCCGAACTTAAATGGATATCCGAAAGAACCCAAAACTTTAAAATTCCAAAAAAACTTGTATCATATCCAATCTAAATTTCTAATATGTTTCCAAAATAGATTAATATATTATTGAGTACCTACAATAATTAGTTATGATATAAATAATTAGCTAAAATATTTAGTCTAATATATAGTGTTATTTGATAAATATTAATGTTTATGATTGACATTACATTTGAAGTTAAGTTACGAATAAATTTGTTTTGAAGTTTATATAATGTTGTTTTTTAAAGTTTAAATAGTATTTCTTATGTTTATAGAATTGTTAGTTGTTAAC